AGAAGAGAAGAGAAGAGAAGAGAACGCAAAGAAAGAATGAGGAAGACTCTAAGTTTACAAGAGGTCTAAATCGGCCACAATCCAGCCTCATGAGGCAACCGTGCTGGAAGGGAACGAGATCCTTGGCACAAAACAAAGGTCCGGTAGAAGCGCATTGATGTCGTCAGTCCGTGTCGATTTGTTGCCATCAATATCTTGCTAGATCTGTCACCAAAGCAGCCTTTCAGAGTCCGGCAGTGTCCAAATACTGTCCAATGACCGGCCAAACTCAGGGTGGTACGCTGACGTGGATGTTGATCCCTCTGCGTCACATCAATGAATGTGTTCCTGCTTCGATCTGCTTCGTGTGAAAAGGGAAAGGTCCGAAGTGTTGGAATTCAGACCCACCAGACCTGTCAAGCGAATTCTGCTTGTGACCTTTGTCTCACATCTTCAATGATTCCGTCCTGATGCGGCATTCTATATCCTGGCGGCAACGAAAGAATAGCAGTCAGCACTGAAAGAAAGCTATCAATGATTTCAGACTATTAGCATGGTCGTAGCTGGTTCAATGAAAGAAGCTGACCAGTCCACCTACTAACGACTCCCCATTCAAATGTGTCAGCAGCACCTTGCCACATGTCAGCTGCAAGCGGAGATTGGTCGCTTTCCACATTTCTCCTGCTGTCTGTGACCTGGGCTGCTGAATCAGGATATTGGCTTCGGACTTCGAGGTCCCAAGTGCCAACATCAAAGAGATTGATGTCTTCACCCTTGATGCGCATACAATGTGCACCATGATGCACATACTTTTGGGGTGCCGGCTACACCATCGTACACCCTTTTTTGGCTCTGACCTCAATCATCCTTGGGGTGCCGGCTTGGCGACCATGGCGCCTGCTCGCAGCTCCTAAGGCCAGTTCTCATGAAGCATGTCGAACCGTCCCCTCTGAAACCAATCGACTTAAAGCAGGAAGCAAGAAAATGAATGAAATCTAGAGCTATTGGTCGCGAAAACGAAGCAGCTTTCACATCGGCTCCATCCATATTATTTGTCCACCAAATGTTGATCCTTCCCATCCTAACATCCCAGATGATCCCAGTGCTCCTGCATCCAGAAGTTGAACTGGCGTAAGGGTCGTTCAAGCGGAGCCGTATTGCCCTGAAGTGGTGCTCCAACTAGGATTAGTCAAGCTCATGGCAATGCAAGTCTTCAACTGATGGAATGTAGGCAACGGCAAGGATTAAATGAGGGCGGATGAGACACTAGCAACACAAACTCAGCTTCCCCACTGCAAAGGTTCGCACCAGCCTTGCAACAATTCAATCTTGCACACACAACAACAGCTTCGCAGCTGTCTCTGTTTGCATGAAGCCTCCTCCTGTGTGACCCCTGCTCATGAATGAAAAACAAACCGCCTCAAGCACTGCTGCGCAGGTGCAAGCAGCCAGGTACCTATACTGTTGGCATTGATGACCACATGCCTTGGCAAGCTTAGCTCGGACTGGTTCAGGTTTTAGCTTAGACCTCAAAGGGGCAAGCTTTTGAGGCTTGGTTAGACAAACAGCAGAGGTGTTCTGTTAGGAGTCCGCGAACATCCTTCTCTCAATGCGTTCTCGATACTAAAACTGGGTAGCCACGTCCAGTTTGGTGTCCATTTCAATCGTGAATCTAAGCCATTGGAAAATTCTGACCCACTTCATGTCCTCCACCGAGGAAAGGCAAAAAAATTAGTGAAGTCTCCAAGGTCTCCTATTTTCTCCAGATCTAGAGGCGTTTCTTTCAACATCCAGCTTCGTCTCGAGGAGCTGACGACTTCACTGGCGCAGGGACCATCTCGGAAAAATGAACCTTGAATGGATAGCCAAAGATACCAACTGTTGCACCACTTCATGTTCTTCTCTTAGTGTTTCTTGCTTGTTCTTTATGGAGGGGACCACTAAGGGCATAGGAGGTCCTACTAGGGGCGGGGAGGTATTTGTCTCAGCTGTTAAGTAGCACGTAGTAGCAAGGAGCTACCAAGGGCGTAGATTTATCGAATTCTTCACACGGTTGACATGGTTTCTAGATCTGTTAGAGAAATTCGAGAATTCAACCTCGCAGAGTTGTGTGAATTGTGTAAGTTTGCACAGTCTTCAGCACCAGTTCTCCTGCAGTCAATTCGCAACACAATTAAATCTCACACTGCACAAGTATGGTATCCATTGGCAGGTCAACGTTCTCCATTGCAAGATCAAGCAAGGAGCGTGGAAACGCTTGTCAAACTTCTTGATGATCTTCTGGACGGCTGTGTGATTCAGCGCCTCAGCACTCAAGAGAACCCGTCGCTTCCTCAACGCTACCGTGTCACTACCCTTACTACAAAGAACGTAAATAGTAGGCTTCTTAAAGGGAATGCATGTCCTTTCCTTCACAAAAAGAATCGAAAGAAATAGAGAAAAGTCAATTCGGTTGAAGAGAAAGGAAGACCGTCGCACTTGAGACCACCGACAACGTAACTTTGGAGCTGCTGAATTGTAGAGACCACGGACTCGCAGGAAGCGTTGACATTGCGAAGGGTCCCCGAGCTGTTCCTCGGTGCGTGGAGTGCAGAATGTTTCATGTGCAGCACCCCAACCAAATAAGTGCAAGTGCGCCTCTGTGAAACCATATGAAACCTATTTGCCTTTTTTCAATGGTTCTGCTTCATCTGCCTTATTTCATTTGGAGAATGCTTCATATAAAATAATGGCAATTGCTTTACAAACACTGTCACTGCACCCAAGGTAGCAACTTCCCAGGAACTTCCACATTGATTGCCGCGAGGGCCTGGCTCAGTTGAATCTGTTGGTCAGCAAAGCTTTAGACGATTACCCCGTCGAAGCTTTTACACGCAAACGTAGACGTCGAAGCATCTGATTCAAAATTGTGTGTTTTGTTTTTACAACCAACGAATGCTTTGACGCTGCTTGAGAATCCAGGCTGCTTGCATCTGATTGGAAGGTGCTGCGTCCACTTGAAAGATCAGGTTGGATCAAGTTGGATCGTCGCCAAAATATAAAAGTTTCCCACGGTGGGGGCATGTGTCTCGTTTTTTGTGTGTAGTGCACAAGCGCGGGGTAGTGCAGGTACGCATCGAATTTCATCTTTGTAAACATCAGCTATGCTGCAATCACACAGGAGCTAAATTCGATGTACGCATGCTGTCCAGTGTCAAACGCCTGTTGCACACTAGATTGAAGGGGGATACTCTCACAAAGATTGGGCACTCATCCCAGGTCCCAAGCAAATAGAAGAATCCTTCCTTAAAGCCTTTAAGCACCTTGGCCAGGCAGGTACGCCGGCAGAATGCATTTGTGTTTGACGCAGACCGACTGACGGACTCCCCTTGAGGCCGATGGCGGCCGATGGCCTTCCATAGACCCTCTTGCTGCTGTAAGAGGAAACGCTGGACCTACGCGACAGAGAAGCGTATGGACAACTTGCGACACCAGTGCACCAACGGTGCACCTAGTGAAATGATTGCACAGAGAAGATGAGATCTCTGAACAAAATCACTGAACATAGCCTCCGAAAAGTTTCCGCTGATCAAAACGCCCAACCTTGCAAATCTCGGAATCAAGGAGGTTGCAAAACGCCGGAACTGCCTCGTCCCGGAGGGGAGGGCCAACCACATGACAAAATGGACTCAAAATGGATGCAAAAGGCTAAAAAGTGTAAACAAAAACAAGCAAGGCCAACGCTCTAACAAATGGCTTTATCAATCCCACCAAACCCCCGCGGCTCACAACCGTCCCATCAGTCTGCCCTGGTCTCATCAGTCTGCTATAAGCATGAGACCTCCACTTGGTCCAGCTTCAGCACCTGTCAAATGAATCCAAGTGACAGGATTAATGTCTTGTTGTCTGCGAGTAACTGAATGTGTATTCGCAGTGGCCTTCTTGAGACTCTTGTAGTTGATGTAGTGCCTGGCATCGCTGGCATGGAGTCTGTAGGAATTATCTTTGTCGTTCAAATGTAACCTCTTTGCCTGTTTGCTACAGACATCAAACTCAAAAGAGAAAGGCAAATGTCCACTCCGCTGGAAGCACTCTTGCCATTCTTGCAGAAGCTCTTCCTGCAACCTGACCGCTGAAGCCAATCCAAGATCAGCTCTTTACCAAAGCTGGCAATTCCACGAAAATTTGCACATAAGTCCACAGTCTTAGTTGCATTGAGAGCTATTTATTCAACTTGCGGATGCGTATTCAGTGCCTATGCAAAAAAATGGCTTCTATGAAAAGGTTCAGACTCCTGTTATGCAGAGATTGTCTGTTTCTAGAACGTAAGTCCCCGACGTTTTGGCAAACTTCATGGCTCACAACTATTTTGCTGGTGAAGAACTTGTCAACACCAATTTTGTGGAGTTTTTTGTGGCAGCGATGAGTGAATATGGATCGATGCACCCTTGACTCTGTGCGTGTGTGTCGGTTTGTGAAAATGACTGAATTCATTTGTTGGAAGCACTTTGCCATGTGTGAACACCTTCCATTGTTGGTGGCAAACTTGGAATGATAATTTCCTTGTCGAATTTCCAGGGGCCATTGGTCGCCAAGGGCGAAGGGCCCCTCTGCCCCAGGCCTCAGTTCCGGCTTCAAAACTTGGGTCTCACACTGGAACAGGTGGGAACACCCTTCGTGCTCAAAAAAGCCTCAACTTTAGTTGACTCGCAACTTTAGTTGTCGAGTTGAAACGTTCAAACGAAGGCGAGCTGGCTGTCGAGCGTGTCGAAGCGTGTTGTCCTTGTCCAGGTCATTCCCTGAGGCTCTGGCGGCAAGAGGTCTGTAAACTTTGCCTAAGGCTGGAGCCAAAAAGGCACCATTCGGGCGGCGAGTTGTGTCCTTGCAAGCTGGTTGGAAGGTCCTCAGGCACATTCATCAGGGCTGTCGGAGGTGTTGGTTAAGTTTCGTTTCAGAAAGCTCCACGTGGCTGGACCCTTGGCCGCCCTTGGCCGCCCTTGGCCGCCCTTGGCCGCCCTTGGCCGCCCTTGGCCGCCCTCAGCCTTGGGGAAGTTCCACTCGGGCCATCCACTGCCACGACTTGGTGCTCCACAAGTGGATCGACCTCAGATGACCATGACGACGGAGCTCCGGCCCGGCCGACGGAGCGGCAAAATTGAAACAAACAAAATCTGTATTTTTTGCGCTTCTCCCTTTTTATGGTCTTTCTTTCTTTAGACCTTCCTTTTCTTTCTTTCTATTTCACAGATTTGGTCTTAGCTTGCTACATTCACATACCATCACGACAACTTCAACTACTCCAAACTGATAAATTCCTTCTCTTGACAAGAAGTTGGCCACGATGCTCTAGGAACCACACGGGCCACCCACGTCTGCCACAAAGACCAAGTCCCTGGTGCCAAAGAGATCTCAAGGGAGAAACATTCTCATCGAAAACCTCTGCTCTCATGTGAATTGAACCTTCCATACAAAAAGTACCTATATATCCAAAACTGAGATATGAACAAGATTATACTTTACGTGTATATTATATACAGTATGTGTATATACTGTATACATTAAGTTTTCTTCACATCTCTTCACTGTCTGTTTGTTTCACTTCTTCTCCATCTTCATGTCAATCACTTTCATTCACTTCGTTTCGCTTCGCTGTGTGGTGCTGCTTTGGACAGGATCCTTGCGAAGCCTTAGGCCTTCGTGAAGAGGCTTCAAGACTGTCTAGCCCAGCGGACCACAAACCAGCAAAGCGCACCCAGCTGGACTCTCCACGACAGCACCTGGGAGTCTTGCCCAGAGGCTCTTGTAAGAACAAAAATTCTACAAATTGGTTTCAGGATCGCAGATTTCACCCAAAAGCGGATAGCCTGGACAAGCAAAACAATAGAACCTGAAGCCATATGAAGCCCATGAAGCCACGGATTTCCATGGAATATTTGCTTTGATCATTCCTCTCTGCCCAGCCTACACTGCCAAAGACAGGCACACGAGGTCCACCGCGCAAACGTGCCAGCTGCAGGGGTCAGGTGCATTGGGACGCTCGGGAATCGGATGATATATCGACACTCCAAAAAGTGGACACCATCCTCATCCGATTCACCTATGTAACAGTGTGGACATTTGTGGAATGTCCATGTCCAGTATCCAGTCATCTAAGTCCTTTGTGGAATCTCACCATGTGAACTAGTGAACCCAGGCTGACGAAGACCTCGTACATGCCCGGCGTAGCCAGGACATACACAGAGGAGAGCACTGCACAGTACAGCCGCTGGTACTGAGAGAGGAACCTTCGAGCAACAGGAAGGAGCGCAATTGCTAGAGGGTCGCTCAAAGACTCCTGTCAATCATCACATGCACGGTGAACGTATATAGTTGCAGGATCATGCTTCAGCCAGCATACGTTGGGGAACCTTTGCACAGCTATGTGTTTGCGCATTTATAGACTAGATGACTAGATCTCCTAAGCCCTAAGCGCTCGAACATCTGCAGCTCTGGTGTGTTTGGTTCTTGATTCGGTATCAGCTCAGCCCGGGTGTCCCAACACCGCTCGAATACCAATCGCCGCAGAGGCAGGGCCCTCTTGCAACCGACACCTCCCAGTGAGGCTCAAGGAGCCTGGCAAATCTGTCCAGAGTTACGTCAAGTGTGACACTCTCAAGATCTCTTCAGTATTTACAACACAATAGCAGCACTGCTGCAGCACACGTGCCTGAAGAGTATGAAGTAACTACACCATCACGCCCTGAGCACAGGCTTCGGCACCGGGCTTTGCATCTCTTTGTATCGCTCAGCTAGTACCCCGTTCCGGCCTCCAAGGTAAACAGATTTGGAATTGGCCGCCACGCGGGAAGTGCCCCCAAAGCTGGCATCTTGCTGTGTTCGGGTTTGTCACATCTTTTCTTGTTCCATTCCATCTTCAAGTTGCTTTCTATGTAAAGACACTGGCAGCCAACTTCATCTCGGCTTCAAACCCATGCAGCCACAAAACAGGCATAGGCAATCTCACTAGCCGAAGCAGTGCAAGCGAGCCAGCAGTACCCACCCTCCAAACCCACAATGGGTTTGCTGAGTCTTTCCAGCTGGCTCGCCACAATGCGCTGGCACACGTTCCCAAGCGGCAACGCAAAAAGCTCTCCCTTACATTATGAAAAAAGAGCAATTGGGAATATATGTTTTCTGCGATGGATCTATAAACCTTCCGGTTGCAGAGACTCTGGGTCATGGAATTCGAAGATACTAGATGCCATGGAAACATCTTCGCCACATCCAAGAAGGTGAACGCGCCTGCGAATGCTCAACGACGGACGGTTGGTATGCCCGCTTCGCCTGCAGCTCACACCTCACGGAAATGGCACATGGGTGTGTAGGTTGGAGGCCAACGCTAGTAGGTTCATCTTCATTATATAAGTGTTTTTTCTGTTTTGCGTTCTTTATTCAAATAGGGAGACCTTCATGCAACGACCCTTTGGAAGGTTCGGGTAGACCAGTCTGCGGTTGAGGGTCCCCCTATTTGAATACACACCCACATAGGCAAATGGTACTCACATCACCCAGGTCCCGCCACCTGCGTGTAAAGCCAAGGCCACGGCGTTCGGGAGTCATAGCGGAAGAGGCACCCATCCAAATCAACACAAACCACGAAATCTGGACCTGGGCTGGCATCCTCTACCAAGGGGAAGGATGCATCAAGTAATCGAAACTAATACGCTGATTGATCTGATCTACATTAACATCTGAATCGAACAAAGCTTCATGGTGGCTTCCTCTTTTTCATCTCATTGAGAGTGTCAACATGGGATAGGTAGCATGAGTTGTCGAGGTCGTCAGTCATGCCCAAAGACTGCTCGCCTGCCGCCAGATCCGCATAACCTGGTGGATCAGCGCTCCCGGCGTAAGGCGCTGCAGCTGTAAGCTGCCTCAGACACGCCAGGCCAAGATCCAAGAAATCGTGTCCGAAAGAGTCCCAGTGTCCAGACCGCCACCACCGTGACCATCGTGGTTAGGATGCATTCTTGCACCAAGACAACATGGCCGACTTGTAAGATGCTTTTGGGCTCCCTTTAAATGGGCAGGGAGCTAGTATTAGCCTGAGAAGTCAAGTAAGCCATTTTGGCAACAGTCTTATATACTTCCTCCTTGTCGGTCCCGATTCCAACTCGTTTGCAATCAATGTTTGCAGTTTGTCGAATGAGCAAAAGAAGACCAACAGAAGCAGATGCAACCCTGGCAGAGGATCTGTTGAAAGGAGAGTGCAAGACGTGGAAATGTGGCATGTGGAAAAGCAATGCCCCTTGTGGATATCTTTTCACATCACCCTTCGCACTTATCACCAGTCACTCCTGTGGCGCTTGGCCACCTCTAGCTTCTAGCTGCAGTCCAGCGACAGGTCAGGCAGCTCGAAGCGCTTCAGGCCACCTGTAACTCTCTTACTCCAAATCTGGAAAAAGAGCTCCCCAAATGCTTTTGGCTCACCATTTGGCCACGAACTGCATCATTCCGGCGCCTCGTCCTGCCACAAAGATAGCACTGGTGCCCGCAGCTACGGCCAAGGCGTCATCCAGGCTCATCTGGCAGAACGAGGTCCATCTGATCATTGCAGTTGACTCTCCTGGTCACCGATTTGATACCTGATACCAAGAGAACTTTGAACATGATAGGATTTTCAAATTGTGCGGCTGCACATGCTTGTTAAGACCTTCTCTGCGCATTTCAAGACTCCACACAAACCCCATTTTTGCGCTTCTTCTGTGATTCGGCAACTCAAGCCCGTTGGCACCGAGGCTGCTCTTGCTTCACGCTGAGGATGGTCCAATGTCTCCTCCAGGCACAGTGTTCCCCGACCTGAAACTTTCCAAGCACCACTCCCGATGGTTCAGCCTCCAACCTGAGAATGGTGTCTGACGTACTGATTAGATGCTGTTGTGACGTTGGTTGATGCTTCAGTGCTTCATCTATTGTGATCACAAAGTGGATGATGTGCCGAAGTTGCACTTTTGATGACAATTTCGATGATTGGCCCTAGCCCAAGCCGTCCTGATCCTCTCTTAGCTCCTGTCCCATTGCAGGGAGGTTCACAGTATGCACAGTGTATGTCGTCCCTTCCATGGTCAAGCACCAACAAACCCATGTGAAAGGGAAAATCGATGGCTGCCTCAGTATAAAGAATGGACGACTATCTTCAAGAAAGTGACAATAAGGTCCAAATGGTTTGAACTGTGGACAGCGGCACGGCGACGAAAAATAGTGCCTCCAGGGCCGTCTTCTCATCTCCATTTGCCGGTGCAGGGCCTTTCTATGAGTGGGCACAAAGCCATAAAGAAAGCGGCAAAGACCCGTCAACATCCTCTGATGCTGTTTACACTGCGTTCTATATACACGGATACATTCATTGTATGATAACGGATGTTGATTCATTGTATGATGATGCGTGTATCCCATCATACAACATTGTGCAACACTAGCCACATCTTGAAGGAAAGTGAACCTTGCAAAGGAGGCTTGGCCAGGTGGCTTCATGCGGTTCCGGCGGTCACCCGGACAGCCGTTCCCGTCCCCATCGCCTTCATCGCTCCAAGAGACACGACGGCGACCACAGGTGCGGCAAAAACGATCCTCGGGCCTCGGTGCGGCGAAACGAAATGGAAAAGTCTGGAAAAAAAATGTGTTTGAAAGTTTTGTTTTGTTTTTTGTTTTTTTAATACTTAATGAAGGGGGCGGGGGAGGTAGCTACTACCTGCAAGTAGCTACTCCCTAGGACGCAGGATAGCTCGCGCTACTGAGTTGGGTCCTAGATTTTTGGGGAAACTTAAGGTTGAAGAAACGCCGCGTCCAGAGCCAAAGCACTGTTTTGTGACGGGTAGTGACATTTTGATGAGCGAGCCTAGTTACGAACACACAATTCTACACATGTTTCTTGTCCCTTAAAGAATAGTTCTCCTCGGGTTCTCAAGCCCCGCTGAACCAGTAGGCACAGTATCTGTGGTTTTTGTTCTGAACCATGCGTTCTTTTGCAGGTGGTAAAGAGTAGACCTGAGGCGAACATAGCAGCAAGGTTTAAAAAGACTCTAGACTTGTTCAACAAGGGCGACTGGTGCAATTGGGCGGCAGGAAGGTGGTCCCACAGGCTGGACACCGGCCAGGAGCCTGGAACTTTCGCAGCTTTTGTGCATCTAAAGGTTTGCTTCTGTGCTCTTCTAATTAAAGCCATAGTCTTTCTCGCCAGCTTGGATGAAAGCTTCTTCGACCATCCGTGTAGACAAGTCCCGCCTTATTGTTCCAGGCACTGTGCACCACCACTGACCTTCGCATCAGTGCCAAAAGTGCCAAGCCGAGCACAAGTGAAAGTCTGTCCCAAAGAATCCGGACCCCACTATTCACTACTAAACTAGTCACTACTAGTCACTAGCCATCACTAGCCCTTGCGTCAGCCACATGTGCCATCCTTTCTTTGATACACTTTCGGCGGCCTCTTGTCACTCTTGTCCTCGTCGCGGTGGTAACGGTTGTTGTCTGGCCACGCCTTGGTGCAACAAGCTACTCAGAAAACATGCCAACGACGTGTCTCTGACGGAGGAAGGTGCCAACAGACATCAAAGGCATATATAAATATAAAATCATGTTTGAAGACTTTTGACCTGCAAAACAAGAACTATATAAACGATATCACCTTTGTTTTCTGTGAGAGCGCCTCAAACTCCGACTGCGTGAACTTTGCACTCAGGCGGCTCTTTCTCAGTGGCCAAGTCCAAGCAAGATGGCTAGCCCAGAGTTTGAATTCAAGGTACCATTCGGGATTTAGCATCAAAGACCTGCTCGCTTGGCCCGCGCACATTAACGCAAACATGTTCTGGCTAAAAAGCATCAGACTCACACCATCAGGAATGTTGTTGCACGGCATCTGAATGCATACGCCTGTAACAATTCTTCGTGTGAAGGCAGAGTTCCGTAAATGACTGTTTTTCATGCTTTTTGCTGCTTGAAAGATGCAAAACGATAGAGCTATCATGGAGTTGCACAGGGACAAGAGCCACCCATGAACAAGAGAGAAGACTCTGCCGTGCCCAACTCAAAACAAAAATAGATCCTGGCCAAGGAGCAACAACATCCCTCATAGCCTGCGGATCGGATGTTTCACTTGCAGGTTGATTGGCTTATGCCAAACAGAAAGATGGTTTCTTTGGGGGTACAACAAGTGAATAGTCCAGAGTACTCCAGGTCTCCAGGCCTGTTGTGTCATTCCTATTGAGTCAGATAGATCCATGGGCACACTCTCCTCGGAGTGCTTGAGAGGCGCCGCATAGTCTGTACGCGCACCACGCCCTGTCATGCCACACTCTGTGAAGCTCCCATGAGTGTATCTCACTAGGGGGGCCCTAAATCACTTCCGTCTCAGAAAAGCATTTGAAGCACTTTGGTGTGGGTTCTGGTTGTCGAGACACTCGTGTGACGCTTTTACCTTGAGTTTCTGTTGCTTGTTACATCAATCAAGGGTTTCGTACAAGGTCTTTTGGACAGCTGTTGCTCGAATTGTCTGTGAAAGAACGCTACGAACGGTGCATGCATGCATTGTTGTTGTACCTCCAGATGGCTAAATGTCACAATCAATCTGGAAACGCTTTGCATTGGTGGTGTGTCCCAGGTTCGTTAACCCAAACCGAAGAAGTGTTACTGTCCGTATCAAAACTGAAAAGTGGACCAGCCTGACACATGGACACATGGAGAGAAGTGGATGCTTTGAACCCCCGCCTGCATTCAAAGTAGCTGCTAAAGCCTCACCAAGCCTTGCACAACAATTGGTGAAAAACTCGTTGTTTCAGCTTGGAAAGTCTCTCTTCTAGAACCGTTACTCCGAGGCTCTTCGAGATCTCTTCACGGGAGATAGAGGAGTTGTCTGCACGGTTCAGGAAGTTTGAAAGCTCTTCAGCCCGCACCAATTCCATAAACCTTCCAAGCCAAAGAAAGGCTCTTCTTGAAAGACATGTTCAAGTCATCTGATATGAAGAAAAAGACATGGAAGTCATTTTCTCTCTTTTCTCTCTGACTCTGTCCGCGTGTCATATCATTGAAACTTTCAAACGGGGTCGTCTACCTACGGCAGCCATCCGCCATAAGTCTGGAAAGGAAGCCGGAGACAGTTCCTGAACCCGTGTTCCTTTGAACGGTCGACAACTAGGCCTGTGTAAACGGTGATTTCGTGGCCCTTTTTCCTGGGGGGGGGTAGGCCAAAGAGGTCCAGGCCAGGCAGCCATTAGCGAGAGGTAGCAGCTACTACCTTATTTAAGCTACTAGTATGAACGCAGGATAGCTGACACACTAGTGATTTGGTTCCTAGATTTTTAGGGAAGCTTAAGCTTGCCTTTTGGACCCTTCATCTCTCCTTTCTTCTTTCCTTGTATTTGATCTAGATTGCCAAAAGACTTTCTTCAGCTCCATGTTTGTCACCAACTCTTCTGCCCCCCACACTTTAAGCACCTGTAAGGATCATTGCCTGCACGGAACTGCGTCTCCGCCATCAAGCGTTTCAACCTCGGAGTCGTTCCGTAACACAAACGGAGCATGAACCACTTCAGGTTGCCCATTTGGTCGGAGTTGGCGACGAAGGATCACCGTCGGTTTAGTATCACCGAAAGGATCACAGTCAATCATCACATCTCGTTGATTCGTGTGTTTTGTGAGAAAAGTCTGTCCACACCCATGGCTCAAGATTGAATATGATTCCCTGCAAGTTGTGATCTCTGCAAATTCAGGCCAAGTGGCGTCTGGTATCTTGCCTCCAAGTACGTTGTAATGCACGGCTCCTGCAAAGAATTGTATGTTTTTTGTTTACAATTTCAAAGTCTAACTGTTCAGCAAAAATAGCAGGCGCAACGGCTCCTTGTTACTCCTGCACAAACAGGCAAGGACACAAGAAAGCAAGTGAGATCAAACAAATCAGCAAACAAAACACAAGCCCATGACGTGCCCAAAGTTGCTGCAGCATATTGCCAGATTGCTTCAAGTGAACTGAATCAAAATGAGCATTTGAAACTGGAAGTTATCTGCAAAAACCTCATCTCTGTTCCCTCCCCCACTTCTCCTGGAGAAGGCCACTGCTTGCTGGGCGTTCATTGGCAAGTACCTGACTCCCAACCCTCCTGGCAAACAGACTATCTGGATTGCCTCTGAGCCATCAGCTTCGGCCAAGTAGCCCACGCGGATGCGTTCCACCAATGCGATGTGAGGTGGTCTTTGGAAAATATTTTGGCGTTTCCTGGAACAAACCGGTCAAACCCAGTCAGAAAAGAACGCACCTTGATAGCTGTTGTTGCATCATTGCAAGCTTTCCGAAAGGCCAAGTCACACTTGCTGCCAAAGCAGCTCTCATAAAGCCTTCATCTGGATTGCTCTTATGCAAGCCCATGATTCCTCCCATTGCAGTGTTCCTCAGGTCCTGCCCAAGACTTCACAACCCTTCCGCTCTCTACATCGATCTCCGCTCTGCTCTCCCCTCTTCGAGTCCTTGGAATTGCCCGTGTGGCCGAAGGACTGTGAGGCAGGAGTCACAGGGTCGGCCATTTGCTTCGGATCTTGCCTTAGCAGCGCTAAAAAACCTGGACGTTACAAAACTTGGAAGCTCAATCACAAGGCATCATGGAAGCGATAAATCTGCTCAATGTCTTTGTAGCAAATCGAAACAAAAACTGCGTCAGAGTTCCATCCACCTTCCCAGGAGTTGGCCTCAAACGTGAAAGCCGAACGGTCTCGAATTCTTCCGCCGCCTCGATCCACACAGGTGGTGCGGTAACCCTGCCTGGCTCATAGCGGCCGAGAGCTTCGGCATGGCGGCACAACATGAGGCAAAGCTGGCGGAAAAAATAAACAAAACTTTGCCCCGTCAAAAGCTGCTTTGCCTCCTGTGTAAAGTGTAAAGTAGACAAAGTCGAGACATCGTATCTGTTTCACTTTGACGTCGAAGTCTCAATCATTACTGAAGATGCTGAAGCTGCTTTTCACAGTCGAGCTCACTTGCTTCTTCAAGATCCATTGCACTCTTCTTGCACCCTGCCATTGACCCTCCCAGTGTCAATCTATGTCAATCTCATAGGCGCGTCATGACATCTTGTCAACAAGGCTGACACTTCCCTTACTCGTGGCACCACCTTCACATCGCTTGGGCGGTTCTGGCGGAAAGGCATCTTGAAACTGCTTCTAAATGAAACTGGAAAGCACTGAGATGCTGTGCGTCTTGTGCGTTGCTTCAAAACAGGATCTAACTTGGATCTACGGGTCAAACGCATTCACATATGTTCACACTGTACCTGGCACTCCTCATCAGCAGCTACATAGTCATCCAGCCTAACACTGACAACAGCATCATGTCACATCTGGACAGCCGCCAACAATATGATGCTTGTAGATTCACTTAAAGATCCTGTTCCCTCTGATAGATGTACAAGCCAGGGACAAATACATGTGGCTGTGGCCACCTATGTAGTGTTGTCGCTCCTGTCCAAGCTGAAAGAATTCAAAGCACAGTCATGTCTTTCGGCCAAAACTGACCATAACAAGACCACTTGGTGGCTTGATTGATTTAAAAAAACACGCTTGTCTGCTAAAAGCGGCTTCAATGAGATGCAGCTTCCGAACGGCAGCTTCAGTCCTCCAAATGATCCCTTTCTGCTGGCCGTTGCCTGGAAAAGTGCGAAGCCGGCTGCCACTCCAAACTTCGTAGCGTCAAGGCCCTTTGAAAGCGGAAAGGCTTTACTCTGGTTTGGTGAGTCTAGTTTCTGGAGGCGTGATCCGGAGAAGCTCCAAGACAGGGTTGCGAATCACGAATACCGAATCACCATGGAAACAATGCATGCGTAAAATTTACAGGAGGAAGGAGTCATGGAAACGAAGCATACCCAGCCACACAAGCAGGCTCTAGCGTGTCTGATGGAACTACATCTAAGCTCGCATCGATGTCATCAGGACATGCATCCCTTTTAGATGAAGAACCTAGACATCAACAAAAAGTATACCGATCATCAAACAGGTACACTTGAGGCATCGCATTTGGGGAGGATCCGTCGCATCCCTGCGTTTGTTTTTTGCATTTGTTAAGACTGAAGGTGGGTCTTCTCTTCCGCTCTTCATCCCCTGCTTTGATGGTTGTTCACGTGAATCACGTCACAAAACATGAAACGCGTCACAAATCATGTTTCCATACCACGAATGTATTGAAAACCGAGGGGCGTATAGTATATAGATGCGAGCCATGCAAAAAGAACGGGTCACGGAACGAATCACGAATCACAAGCCTGGGAATCATGCATCACGAAGCGAATCACGAACAACGCAGCTGAGAACGAATCACGAATCACGCGGCTGAGAAGCGAATCCCGAATTACGCGGCTGAGTAACGAATCACGAATCACGCGGCTGAGTATATAACGAATCACGAATCACGAAATGAATCACGAATCACGTGGCTGGATAGTGACTTCCGGATCACCACTCAGTTTCTGTATACCTGAGAAGGGAGGGGACGAAAGCCAGCCTCCGTAAGAACACATGAATATGGCAATGGGCAATGGAGATGAAGTCGAGAGCGCACTGGAACCGCTGCCAGGAATGGGGAAAGGTGGAGAGTTTGAGAAAAGGCCAATATGACAGGCTCTGCTTCACAGGTGGGAGTGGGAGAGTGGGGTGCCCCTGCTCTTGTTGCTCGAGGTGCGTTTTGAATACCTGAGAAGGGAGGGACGAAAGTCAGCAGCCGCCAGACGAGTATCTGTTTTTCTGGCGGGCGTCGAGGCACAAGATACATGGTCGGCAGCTTGCTTCTCTGCTCCCTCAATCACCATTACATGGTGATTGAGGGGGCAGAGAAGCAAGCCGGGTATGAAAGAAGTAGTGAAAGAGAAACGCGATACGTTGTAAGTTGGTGTAGGTCATCATCACTCACAAGGCAATGGCATGTGTTTGTCACGCGCAGGAAGGCATGCATCTGATGGAAGTTGGAATGCGACATCAGCGTTAGCGAAGGGGAAATACCGCCTGAGTTCGAGTGGTGGTCGTTAGCGCGGCGCGCGCAGAAAGACCTTCTCTATAGTTAGCGTCGCCGCACGCGCGCGTGCGCGAGTACGGCACTTGTTTGAAAAGAAACGATTGTGCGTTTGTAACATTTGGAATGCTTGAAGTTTGCAACGCATATTGCGGAGCGTCGAAAAGCGGCCTTCGTTGATTTGGAAGAGAGAACGGGCACGTCTTAGCCGGGACACGGACGTTTGATCCCGCGGCGCAGAAGGGGAGGTCCAGCAGGAGTAGCTTGGGCTAGCAAAGGAGGGAGGATTTGTGCGCCTATCGACGCACATGATTGGACTTGAGTGAGTCATGTTCTGGCTCAATCCAAAACACAGTCTTTTTCCTTTAAAGGGGCCTTTATTAAACGATCCAAACACCTTCGTATTCTTCTCTTTCTTATCAACTCTGCGCCTTTCTCACTCAGAGGCATTGACTTTGGCACCTGCGTGCGTCGATCTTTGGGCCGTGGACCCAGGCTGACTGGATTCGGCCAGGGCTACCAGCAAAAAGGCGACGTCATGAGTCAGTAGTATATAGAACTTATCTACCTATCTATCTATCTACCTACCTACCTATCTATCTCTCTCTATCTCTATCTCTATCTCTATCTCTATCTCTATCTATCCATCTATCTATCTATGTATCTATCTATCTGTCTATCTACGTATGTATGTATGTATGTATGTATGTGTGTATGTATGTATGTATGTCTGTCTGTCTGTCTGTCTGTCTGTCTGTCTGTCTGTCTGTCTGTATGTCTGTGTGTATCTATTTATCTATCTATCTGCACCGGCAAAACGTTCGGTGCGTGTGGACGCCGCGAGATGCATCCACTCGACCGAGGACATGGTGCAAGTATAGTTTTTGCTAGGGGGCAGGAACCCTATGCGGATATGTAGTCAACCTCGCAGGCATCCCTGCTGAAACTCAATACAAATTCATGGAGTTGAACTCATGTCACTTTCGGTTCTTTGTGGGTTTCGCGAGTTACGGGTTGTCCTGGGAACTCGTATCCTACATGCGGCGGCGGTCTGCTCTGTACGTGGGTCCGTCTCCACTCGAGCGCTCAATGCCCATTGTCCAAATAGCCTCCAAAGCCCTTCATGATGCTAATGATGCACTACTCGCCGTCCATCGCATCAGTCGCATCACCAGACCCCATTTCGACTGCTTTTCTGGCCCTCGCTTTGGAGCGCTCTCCCCCCCCCCCTTAACTCACTTCGTTCGCTCCAAAAGCTCAAGCCTAGCCTATCGGTTGGCTTTCGTAAAAAAAGGGCGCCCCTAAGTAATGGAGGGGCGTTTGCGCGCTGTTTGTTTGTCTTTTGTTGTAGATAGACTCATAAAGTCGGCGTGCTGCTAAGAGTGGACCGAGGAAATACTGCCGAGATCACGCGAATTTCTTGACTTCGGGGAAGATTACCGTTGTTATGGGGTGCCCTTTTTTTGGCCCGGTTCAAGGGCACCTCAGGGGCGCGTGCCCGCTGTTTATTGTTCGTGTCCTGTAGATGGACTCAAAGACTTGGCGTGCAAGATCAAGTGATTGACTAACATCGGGCAAAGAGCACCCAACGGACCGCAGCAACTCGCACCCCATATGGGGTGCCCTTTTGCGTATGGTTAGGGGATGTCTTCATCCGAAAAAAGGGCACCCCCAAGAAATCAAACGATTTCTTCAACGATTTCTTGCAATCAGTCTTTGGTCACACCACGTCCTCCTCCGCTACGCATGTCTTCCACAGGAACTCCCACCTCATATGGGATGCCCTTTTGCGTGGCGTCTTCACCATTAAAAACGGGCACCCCCAAGCAACTCCAAGATTTCCTGCAGACCCTCAACAGACCGCATCAGCTCGCACCCCACATGGGGTGCCCTTTTACGTGTGGTTGCTGTAGGGGACGTCATCAGAAAAAATAAAAAAAGGAGCACCCCCAAGAAATCCAACGAGGTCTTGCAGTCAGTCTTTGCCCACCACGTCCTCATGTCTTCCACATGAACTCCCGCCCCATATGGGGTGCCCCTTTGCGTATGGTTGACAGGCGTCTTCACCATAGCAACTCCAAGATTTCTTGCAGACCCTCTTTTCCTACCAAGTCCTCCTCCGCTCTGCCTGTCTTCCACCTTCCCCACAGCATTCTGTTCCCTCTCCTACCCTCCCCTCACAGGTCACACTTCGTCCTGAGAGACACACACACCCCCTTTCACCCCTGGTCGAACACTAACCTGGAAAATTTCCGGCCACTTCTCGTGTTCCGTTGCCTCCTCTTTCCTATCATCGACATGAACTCCCACTCGTAGAAGACGGTTTAGAGTGCCTCCTGGGCCCCTCATGGTGCTAATGATGCACTAATGACCATCGATTACATCACCAGCATCACAACACTCCAAAAACCACTCCCAAAGTCCAACTGGTTTTCTTGTGTCGCAAAGTGTCCTGTGTTCTGCAGAAAGCATCGAAAGCATCACATGTTTGAAGCCTGGCCTCCGAGGTCCCTTTCGTGGCGATGGAATTCCAAAGTCCATGCGCCAAGCACGGCTCAGAACAGCAATCTGCAACAGTAACATCATCCGATAAGCAGAGGGTCTGTCAACAGAAACCCTGCCACAAAAAAAGGAAAAACGAAGAAAGAAAGTTGTTAAGAAATTGAAACCAAAGAACGAAAGCGAGATCCGCCTCGAAGGGGCTACAAACATCTATGAGATCTCGATTCTGCGAGGGCTCTCCACAAATGATCTCCTCAGCAATCAAGGGCTGGTGAACAAAACAAAGGAGGGATCAGGCAGGGCATGGCAGTATGGATCACTTGGTGCTAGCTGCTAACGACTCAAGATCTTTGATCACGGTCTTGGTGAAACTTGAAAAGCTGTCTGCTTGACAACCGTCCTCAAGGCCACTTCCTTTCAACCTCTTGTCTTGTCTGTGAATCAGGAATCTTCAATGACCAATGGTTAAAGAAAATGAACCAAGGCATTCTGGTCCACAAAATGGGCATGCATTGTAGTATAGCAGGATAACCCCAGGTTCAGACAAGATCGCTGGATTGTTTGAGTTTACTGAGTCACCAGCACAAACAGCTGATCCTATGCGTGTAGCAGATCAGCGCTTTTTGGGCATCACTCGAGACGCTGCTGAAACTTGGATCTCAGCCTCTCGTAAGTCGCGAAGAAGACAGAGCTCACGCAGAACCACCAGGCGCTCCTAGGTCCGGCACCAGCGAAAAGACCTGTCGGGCCAATCGAGCGAAAGGCTTGTCCAATGGTCATGGCCTCTGCTGCGGTCATCACACGTGTCTTGATCACATCGAAGGGAGTGGTCAACCAAGCAGCTAAGGCACCAGAGACACCACCCCAAAGCACCTCACTGTGTGACTCTTGGGTTTTTCCTTACCACACTTCCACCAAATCCATTAGAAAGTCTAAGAAAACATGATGGATGACCACGTATTATCGTGAGTTGTCATGTCAAACAACTACAAACACAAGAACGGTCCAAGGCACCGTCTCAGCATCTGACCATGGTGCCAGTGGGGGAAGCGAATCTCCGAAAGTCAGTCGAATCTTCCAAGCTTTGAACTGTTCGTACGAAAAGAACAAAAGGACCATGAAAGGCGTATCTCTTGAAGCTGTGGAGAGGTACCCACGAAATAAGCCCGAAAAGCCATCCTGTCGAAGGATACTTTGGCAAGCTGCCCAGCTCGAAGTGTATTGGCCGGTTTGCATGCGTTGTGTTATTAGCTCGCGGGGCACCTTGATCACACTGCTTGCAAAGTCAGCCAAAACAGCCGAGACTCCAATACCAAAGGATTTCATGTAGAACTTGTCTGAGAGCAGCTCTTTACATGTTTCATAGCTGGCCATTCGTATCGCTCCTTGTGGACAGGCCCAAGCAAAGCTGAGTCCGAAACCTCTCGCTATGCCACGAGACCCCAAGGCTTTCACGGCTTCTGAAAAGCCCAAAACACCATGTCTTGCCTGCATCGTGGTTCGCACCGTGTCCAGCGGATGCATAATCCCCACGGCCAAGGGCAGGGCAAGACCACCAGCGCCAGCAGCTGCCAAGCGATTAATTCGTGGAGAATCCGAAGTCACAGAGTGGGAATCCTGGGGCCGATACGGCAAGCAGTTCACCGTCCGCTCAATATCCAGGACTTCATTCTCCAAATCCTTGATCTGACGCCTTACCAACTGTAACCTCTGAAGAAGTAGTTGTCGATTTTCGTGTCGATGAACTAGGCCCTCGATGCTGTATGGATCAAATGATCCTTCAGAAGCTGGAGCTGCAGAGTTCGCTTTGGACATGAGCTGCACGAAACATGTGACTAATACACATGAAGCTCAAATCAATGCATGCAACTAAGTTGTCAACGTGTTTCGGGATATGCAGCGCCAAATATACTCTATGCTATGTCTATCTATGTCTCTCAAACAATTGGCTCTCCTCACGGCTCTTCTCAAGGCTGACACTGTGGGCTGGATACCTATTGGGCTATCTCGGACATGTTTCCTATTGGGCTTTCGTGCTTCAGTGACTTGGATATGCAATTGTATAGATTCGGAAAGAATGTATATATAACAATAAGGCGCCCGGTTTGGTCACATGCTTTCGGGTAAGTTTCAGGTTGGGTGCCTAGACTAGACCTTTGCCAGCCACACAGAGACTTATTTTCATAAGTTTCCTCGAGACCTTGCAAAGCTTGAGCCGGCAAAAAACGACACAGAAAAAACAAATATGTTTCCAAATTCAAAGGAACCCCTGTTCTCCCGTTTCTCCACTTGGACCGGATCCACAAAGCTCGGTGCCGCGCTGCAAAGTTCTGCATTTCCCAGGCATGTCTTCGGGCTACGCGAACAAGGTCTTGTCGAGCATCACCAGAGATCTGCGCCTGCCGACCTCGGATGGCGAATTCCTTCCTGCCAGCTGCCAGCAGCTGCCAGCAGCTGCCAGCAAGTCGAACCACAACGTAAATACCAAGCAACTTATCCAGTCCACCAAGTCCTTTGCCATGGCCACGGATTCAGTCCCTGAAAAGATTGTAATAATCATACCGCAATACCAAATCTGTGTGCCTACATGCCTGTACAGGCCGCCATAGATGAGAAAGATCACAATCCACAATCCACCCCAAGTCGTCAACCAGGTTTCAGTTCTGGAACAGCGTTGTTGATTTGATCCATCCGTGTGAACAAATGATTTCAACTGCCATTGCAATCTGATGTTTGGAGCCAAAGCAATATTGGTGTGCAAAGCATGAGTGAACTGACGGGGCTCGGGGGAATCAACAAGTCACACTCCACCTTTCTCAAGCCAAAAGTCTACCAGTTGCTAGTATACAATAGTTTTCCACTTTTCTCAAACACTTTGAACTTACTTATGTCGTCCTTCATCTGGTTCTTTATCTTCAAACATAGGCGTGGTTGGCCTTAGATGCCTCAAAGGGCATAGGCCAGGACTTGTGTCGCTGTGACATCAAAGACTGCAAGCATGCCTTGCCAGTGGTCTAGTGGTAGCATGTCTGGAGCAAAATGGAACTATATCAATTATTAAACCCGGATGAACCCACACTTGCTTCGCAAGACAAACTCGAGGTATCCCGGTATCCCCTTGGGGGCTACCTTTCGTGATATATATATATATATATTTATTTAATAGATGAGGTTCGTTGGTGCGAGGCATGCTCATTGTCACAGGACTAAGCTCTCAATGCGCAAAATACCAGCGCTTGAGGACAGGTGACCAGCGGCGCATAATGTAAAAAAAAACCGTAGATTCCTCACCTATTTGGCGAGCATCCAGGCGGAGAAAAATGCGCAGAATGGACAAATCGGACTATGTTGCACTTGCAACCTATCTGGGTCTCAGTAGGCAGGCACAGTGGCTGCGATATTCATCGGGGCTCACTGAACTTGGCACCCAGGCGACATGCATGGAGCTCCACATCGTGGACCTGTGTCGCAACATCCATCTTGGCTACCTTCAACCATAATGAGAGGAACGGCTCTGGCCTCAGAACCCGAACTCTTCGGAACACGGTTCTTTCTCAACAGTCTACATGCCGTTGGAATTGGCAAGTCCTTTTCACAGTTGTTTTGCTACAAATGTTTCAACGCAGAACAACGCAGAAAACTACTGTAGTCCGGAGCACAAAGAGCATATGTATTGATGAAAGCAACCCCAAGGCGCGTATGGAGCAATTCATGACTTTTGGGATGTAGGTGGCAAGATAGCACAGTGTGTGTGTGTATACATGTATATAATATATATATATATATGTATATACAAATAGATAGAAAGAGAGATAGAGATAGAGATAGAGATAGAGATAGAGTTGAGTTGTGGCCAGGCTATGAGGGGGCAGTTTCAAAAGTTGCTGCAACCTGTCAATTGGACGTTTGGGCTGGAAGGGCATCAAGTGAACTCCCGTCTCCCATCAAACGGACCATCATCCCGCTTGGGTCTTGTCTCAGGTGCACCTGTTTGCAACAGGGATCCCCGCTGGACTAGAAAAAACATCTCCTGTCTCAGTGAGCCGCGCAGCTTGAGGAGAAGAAAGCTGGCGGTGTAAGGGCGCCGCAGTGGAGACAAAAAAGGCAACGTCAAAGATCTTCAACAACTGTGGATGATGGCCACTTGACGCTGAGCTGCGCGGTATCTCTTTTTAAACTACAACACAAGGCGAAATCTGTGGAAATCTCACGCCAGCTTCTCTGGCCCAAACCATGTAAAGCCCTCTGGTCCACGGATTTGTTTTCCGAGATTGCGTTCATTGTGCCTACATAGTGATCGTAGGGTCGGCCTGCCTGCTCTGAAGATTTGCCGGCCATACTTCTCCAATTGAAATTCGACGGGGCCAATGTCCGGCTCCCCAACATAAAGCCTTTGCAGAGGGAGGTTCAAGCCCAACCTCTGCTCAGCTCTCTTCTGGCCCTTGGCGTCGCGTGGTTGCAGTCTTGTTCCCCACCTCAATACGCTGCCGATGGAAGCGATCTCGAAGCGGAGACCAATCTAGCCTGCGCGAATGCAACACGGTCCGTCGTGGCTTTCAATTGCAGCAGCTCGTCCGCGTCACCCATCCACGAATTTTACGCTCTTGGAAGGCCAGCCACACAGTCTATATCAATCAGACAGAAAAGGTGAAAGGCCTCAAGCCGCGCGACCATCTACTTTCGAACAATCAAAACCAAGAACAGCCAAAGAAGCACAAAGCCAAACAAAGAGCCAACAGGGAGGCCAGCAGCAAAGATGGCCAAGGTGAAGGCTAACAACAATGGGCAATGTGCATCAGCACTTCGGCTGCTACGTGATGCATCCACCTTGAAGTTTGGGCAGCGAGGGCACGTGCACATTCATGCGCAGGGCAGCGAACGGGGTGCTTCAACCACCAAAACATCCCGCTCGATGACAGCTTCACACTGTGGCAACACGCACCTTCATTTTCGACCATTCCACACTTTTCCTGAACAATTCGCATTTGACCATAGCTTCGGAGGTTCAACGCATACGACCCCCGACCCCGTCCTCCACATACTCCCTCGAGGACTACCCGATGGCGTTGGTGGCACCAGCCGGGGATGCCATGTTCCTTGCTTGGCCGCCTGGGCCAATCGCTTAAAGGATCTCCTGCCTGATGTGCACCCGGCAAGGGTTGGGCACCAATGAAACAACCATCTGGGAAGAGACCGGCTAGTCTGTTTGGATGCGAACAAATTGGATACAGACCAGATCCCCATCCCATCCCACCCCCATCCCGCTCATTGTGCGCAGATGACGCAGGGAGGTGCCGCAGTCCATGGTGCAAAACAAGCCGCACACATGTCAGTGAAGGCGATGTCCCCGCTGGTCCCCGAATCCAGGCCGGAGCCATCTTGTATTTCATGGACCAAATGGCCTCCTGCTTGGCCATGGGTGACGTGCTGCTCGAGGATTCGTGTCACCGTGGGCCCCGTCACGTCAGGGGCTTGCCCATGAAGCAGCCCACCAAGAGGCGGGCAAGGTGGCCCAGCTGGCGCTGGCTGCTGGGCAAACCTGGAGGCCAGGGCGGTGCTCCTCCAGCATGTCCTGGGACTCAGAGGTGAAGGGCCTTCGTCAAGCTCGGCCCCCAAATCGAGCTTCTCCACCATAGTGGGGCTCCCTCGCCCGGTACTGCAGCCTCCTCAGCACGAAGTTAAGAGGAGGCCAGGTCCGCCTCCTCGTTCAAAGCTGCCATGTCAGGGCTAGGAACTGTGTCCGCGTCAAAAATTTCACCCTCCACAGCAGGCTACATAGTCACGATGAGCAGCGAAAATGTGGGTGGGTACTATCCATGTCTACTTCTACAATTGCAAAATGGCAGATGCAAGTGTGTGTCACACATGTACAAAGCAAATGCAGAGGTAGCTATGTACAAGCAGTGCCCATCAACCACTAGTTGAAGCATGTGAAGAAACAAATGACCTTTGATCCAAGTGACTACAGGTACAGTGTTAGAGTTGCCGAGTGGAAGAAGAGCTGCAAGCATATCCGTCACACTTTCGCGGACGTCATCTCCTCATACAAGTTTGGCTGTGCCCAGCACTACCATGGAAAGAATGAGGAAACAACAGCAACAGCAAACTATGTCAAGAAAAATAAACCATGGCCCTACTCGACGTTGTGTGCGTTTCTGCTTGTTGACATGCTTTTGATGATTTTTTTGCATTGTCTGCATGTCAGGCAGAAATAGAAACATCGGTCCACGCCCACCTTCCAAGTGCCACGACCATTTGCTGTTGGGGATGAACTCCAACTTTGATTCGGGCATAATCTGCTGCAGTCGTTGCATAGCTTCTCCAACCACGACCAAGGGTGCCTGGTCACTTGCAGCCAGCACTACTGGAGGTGATATGGACGGCCACTCTGGCAAAGAAGTGAACACACC